TTTTTTCCCCTTTAAAGTTTTTTTTTTGGGGGGGGGGGGTCCTTATCTGCTGTGAGGGTCCAAAGGACAGAGGGATGTCGTATGCTGTAAAGCCCTCTGAGACAAATAAATTGTGATTTGTGATGTTGGGCTTTATAAATAAAACTGATTGATTGATTGATTGATTGATTGAATGTGCTGATGTTTGTTTACGTACTTTGGTTTCAACAGTATGGCCTCATGGTCACTCTTGCAAAGCAGGGGAAGGGATTCTACTCTGTTGCTGCTTCTGAACTCTGTATTACAATGGTCCAGTGTTCGTATTCCCCTTGTGGTGCAGTCAGTATGTTGATGGAAGTCAGGCATTACCTTTTTAAGGTTAGCCTGATTGAAGTATTCAGCAACAATGAGTGCAGCGTTAGGATTACCACTCTGTGAGCAGTTCAGATCTTTGCAGAAATCCATCAGGGCAGTCTCTGTATTTGCCTGTGATGGAATGTAGACCGCTGTTCTGGCTACTCTTGCGTTAAAAAAAATGTAAAACTAGCAGAGTAGTCTTCTGAGGAGGAGGTCTATGACTCGCTAAATAATAAGCACTCGCGGAGATCTTTCCAGGTTCAAAAAGGGTGGTGAATTTATTTACATAAACAAAAATAATCTCCGTGGTTGACTTCATACAATAAACAAAACAAAAGGTTAATTTAGCGGTAGATAAAATGTCTCACTCCTCACTCCCAGGACCCAGCTGTACTATATCCTTAATCATAGGAGGAGGAGGGCCGTGAGCTGGCAGAAAACAATCAGAATAAATTATCATTTATCTGCAATATATAATCTACCACTTCCAATAATTAATCAACATTATTACCAGCATTATTTTGATTTCCAAAAAATTAATAAATATGAAAAAATATGAATTGGCTCCAACACATGCCTTGGTGGATAGCAGTTCAGGAGGGACTGACGCTGATGGGTTTGTCAGTCTGTCAACAACAGTAAATAAAGTCCATGCATTGTTGTTATTTTTGTTGACAATCTCAGAGAAAAAGGACTGTCACGCCCTTTTTAGCTCCAAGTTATAGATGTGCAGACTTTACCTATAGATGTCATAATGAACCTGGAGTTTGGTTTTTCGCCACCTGCGTTCTGCTTTTCTGCATTCTCTTTTTTGAGCTTTTACCCATGTGGCGTTCCTCCATGGTGGTTTTTTCTTATCAGAGACAACTTTGACCTTCATGGGGGCAATATTGTCCATAATATTCATAGCTTTAGAGCTGAAACTATGAACCAGATCATTGACAGAGACTGAGGGCAGAGCTGGTGTGGGTATAAAATCCTGGGTGAATAGTGTACAGGTGTTTTCGTTGATATAGCGTTTTCTGATTACCTCTGTTGTAATTTTACTGNATTTCAAAGTTCAACTGTAAAGAGCTAGATGCACAGCCATCAGAATATGTGACCTCACTGAATCTGCATAATAATGAGTTTAAACCTCAAAATAACTGTTTTCAATCCTTCTGTCATCCTCTCACATCAATATGGACACATATATGTGTATTTGGGATCATCACAGAGATAGAAACACAGAGGTCACATATTCTGATGGCTGTACAGCGGTCACAGATTCCGACGGTCACAGATTTCGGTGCAACACCTGTACTCCAGGACGGCCAGCGGCCGCCACGCAGTCATCACCCTTTTTCTCCCTGATAATCTACTGTTCCACGTCCAGTCCGCTAGGTGGCAGCCTTTAAATTGGATGCCAGCTGGCCCATAGATATCTATGAGCCGGCCGGCCGGCAATCAAATTGAAGAAGAAGGAAGTGCATACTATATACGCACCGGTTGTTGTGGGCTGGGCCGAGTCAAAGTCCAGGGCTGTTTTTTAGTCCCAGTCCGCCCCTGATCATGTGATATTGCTTAACATTGCGATACAAATACATATGCATTTTAGATTTGAGTTTCTTGTCAAAACTCACCTGCAATTCACATGCCGTCCCTATTAAACTCAAGGTGTGACAGTTATTACCTGTTGTATAGCTGTTGGAGGGCTAAGGGGTTACTCAGTGTTATTACGCAAGGAAAAAAAATGTTTCTTAATGGCACTCAAGGAAATGCAGAAATGAAACAAACATGTCAATCAATCAATCAGTCAATCATTCAACCAATCAATCATTTATTTGTCACATGGAATTATGCACAGTACAACTCCAGTGAAATGTGATCAGCCATCCATCAGCTCCCTTACCTTGTACGCTGTTATTTAATCTTTTTTTTTTTATAATTATTTTTTATTGAGTGAATAGAGATCAATTACAGTCATCACCGCGACATAGCGTACCTTCGTCATTTAAATCTCACAGTTCAATCTGAGTCATCATCGGTTACTTATCTACATATTCATAAATGTTCCATCACGGCATCCTCATAAGCAATATTCGTTCCCAATCCACCCCAAAACCCAGAACCACCCTCCTCCCATCCCTTCTTCCCAACCTTTAAACCCACACCCACACACGCACACACACACACACCCGCACACAGTTTAACGTGGAATTAGATTACAATAAAGCAACACGAAACAATACAGGAGAGAAAAAAATAAAAAATAAATAAATAAACATAATAATTAAATAATTAAATAAATAAGAGAATATAAATAAAGTAAAATATGTTTGCAAATGGGTTACTTACTTTCTAGATAATTAATGTGATTACTGTATTGTATTGTGTCTGTGGCTCCACTCATTTTACAGAGCATCATAAATTAATTTCCATATCTCATTGAATTGTTTAGCTTTATTACATTCTTATTATTATTACATTTTTCTTCAACTTTTATAATTTTTTCACAATACCAAAAGGCATGAATGAGGGAGTCACTCTGCGTGCCACATTTTAAGCATTTACCAGAAGAGCTGTTGTCAAACTTGTGAATTTTGTCTCTACTATGATATATTCTTGTCATCAGTTTGTACTGGATTGGCCTTAAATTTTCATTCGTAGTAGTTTTGTATGTGAGTTGTAAACATTACTTCAATTTTTCCCTGCATCTTCTGTGCCCAAATCTATATTCCATTTGTTGTATATGTTTTGAAGCAAATCATCGTTACTCTCAGCTTTATTAAGGATATTTACGCAATATTCGTTCCCAGGGTGTACCCTGGTGCTATATATATAGCTATATATATAGCACCTATCAATCGTGTTTTTTTTAATTTTATTTTGTTTATCCCTTTTAGTTAGGGTTTCCCCTATCTCAGTTGGATATCTATTTTTGAGGTTAAAGTTTTCTGTTATCCAGTTTTTCAGTTGCATATATTTAAAAAATTCTATGTCTTTCAGTTTATATTTATTCTTCAGATCCTGGAAGGAGATTGGTTGATAATATCCGATAGTTTTAGAATTCCTCCCTTTATCCACGTCTCCCAGTTCAGTTGAGTATTTTGGATAGTTATTGATGAGCTGTTCCAAATGTGTATATGTCTGGGGATCTCTATTTCTTGATCTGTTATCTTTTTTATTTTTTTCCAAGCATTTAATGTACTATTAATTATAAAATTAACTGTTTTAATTTTTTTTTTTTTTGAAAAGAGAGCTAAAAGTAGACTATTAGATTGTAACTGAGCGTTTTCAATATCTATCCAAGGTTCTTCATTTTTATTATTAGTTATCCGGTCAATGTAAAACATTTGAGCGGCATTATAATATAGTTCCAGATTGGGAAGGTTTAAGCCTCCCTCATGTCTGGGGTAATGCAGTAATTTCTTCTTCAGTCTGTGAGCTCTATTCGACCAGATGAATGAAGAAATCATTGAATTCACTTCCGTAAAAAAAGATTTGGGTGGGGGGGCTGGAGCCTATCCCAGCTGACATCGGGCGAGAGGCAGGGTACACCCTGGACAGGTTGCCAGACTATCACAGGGCTGACACATAGAGACAAACAACCATTCACACTCACATTCACACCTACGGACAATTTAGAGTTATCAATTAACCTAGTCCCCAATCTGCATGTCTTTGGACTGTGGGAGGAAGCCGGAGTGCCCGGAGAGAACCCACGCTGACACGGGGACATGCAAACTCCGCACAGAAGGGCTCCCACACCCGGGATTGAACCGGCAACCCTCTTGCTGTGAGGCGACAGTGCTAACCACCACACCACCGTGCCGCCCGCTTGACCAAAATGTTGAGTAAAATTCTACTGGGAGGCCATCCATTCCTGGGGCTTTTTTTTTTAGGAAAAAATTTAATTGCAGATTGAATTTCTGTGAAGGTAAAGTCTGTATTAAGTTTTTATTTTTGCTCCGTTGATAAACGTTTCAAGTTGAGTGATTCAAGAAAGGGAAGAGGGTCATAGTCGTTTACTTCTGATGTATATAAGTTCTCATAATATGATTTAAATTCCTCATTAATGATACTATTATTCCTGTATACTGTGTCTAATGTTTCAGTTTTTAGAGATATGGGTTGTCTCTTTAAAACTTTTTTAACTAATGAGGTTAGATGTTCACCTGATTTGTTGGAAGAAATGTGATTAAGTTTATTTGAATTATGTCTGAAATCATTTGCTTTCTTACATAATAAACTGTCCAATTTCAATTTTAATTCCTGCAACTCAATTAATTAGATCCTACTAGCCTGTATCTTATGCTTCCTTTCTAGAATACTAATTTGATCCTTTAATTTATTATCTCATTGTCCAAGTTTGCTTTCTTTTTTGCCGCATATCCTAACATCATTCCTCTTATATAAGCCTTGAACATATCCCAAATTATACCAATTTCTGGTCTGTCTTGAGGGTCTCCATTATCTACATTAGTTTGAATAAATAACTCTATATGACTTTTAACATGTTTTATAAATTCAGTTTCCATTAGATATTTTCTATTCATTCTCCACGTCCTATCAAACTGGGTATTTTGTTTCGGAGACAAAATACAAGTGACAACAGCATGATCCGATATAATAATGTCATTTATTATACTTGATAATACATTGTCTAGTCCAATCTTAAATATAAATAAATATTCATCTGTAACTGTTTTGTGGATGTGAAAAATATGTGTAGTCCAATGTATTGGGATGTAAATTTCTCCAAATATCCTGCAATTCATTTACTGACAGAAAATTCAAAAGATTTTTGGGTGGATTCATTTTTCTATTCTTGGATGAGCTGTCATATGGGCTAAATATGTTGTTCAAATCGCCCCCCAATATAATCACTCCTGTCGGTGAACTGTCTAGCACATTTTGTACTTTGTTTAAAAAAGTCATATCTGAAATAGGGGGTTTGTAAACATTAATGAGGGTATAGAGTTCCCCAAACATTTCACATTTAATAATTACCATAGATATCTGCATGTTGGGAGAGTAACTTAAATGGTATCCTCTTATTAATTAATATTCCTACCCCTCTGCTCCTGGAGGAAAATGTTGCCTCAAAAACCTCCCCCACCCATTATCTCTTAAGGTATTGGATTTGTCCAGCTTCAGTCCCTCAATGAAGCTCCTGCAGAAAAACAATGTCAGTGGAAAGTTTCCCTAAATGGTGTAAAACTCTATGTTTTTTTAGTATCTTCCTGTAAACTATTCACATTCCAGGCTGCAACCTGAAAAGTAATAGGAAGAGTTTTTACCAAATTTTTATATGCCATGATCTATATCAAATTTAAAGTTAGTGGCTTTTAAAATGGAACCGCAAAATAATAACCTACCATCTATTAGCAAGGAAACCCAACTCAATAGAAAACATCTTAGAACCCACATGAAAAGTTGCTTTGTTAGAGCTATAAACCCCTACTCCATTTTGGCGAGCAAGCAATGGTCTTAACAAATATTCCTCCTCACTCACATCTTCAGAATTTTACACTCATAAATTATCCCACAAATACACCTGCCTCTCTACCTACTTAATACCAAATAAACCTTCCTCCTTCAAAGATTTCATCAACTGAATGTTTTTCCCCCTCCCCCCTCCATCTATCCCTCTCCCTCCCACATCTTCTACTTTATACCTAGAAAAATAAACTTAGATTAAAAACTTTGTAGTAATCCTATCCATTTCTTTTAAGTGGGAAAAGGGGGGAGAGAAAAAAAAGAAAAAAGAGAGAAGGAGGGTAATAATCAAAAAATAAACAAATAAATTAATAAATAAATAGGAAAGAAATTAAATTACATTTACTGAAATGTTTTTGCATTTTGTCTCTGTGTTCAGTTTGCTAAATGGATTTTCAAGGCTGTCAAAATAATTGTCAAATTTTGTTCTCATCATTAGGAAGTAGTTTTACAACATCTTCTTTGACATTTGAATGCAATTCCTCTACAAGCTCCTCCATATTTTCAACAACAGTCTTTATGACATTAGTAGCCACACCTCAGCCTTGGAGTTTTGCAATAAGGGATGCATACATTTCTTGGGTATGTTGTTTGTTCTCATTGCAGCTTTGATAATTCTCTGGTTGCTCTGGAATTAAAGTTGATACAGTTTGCTGATCAGATACATCAACTGAAGGAGTGATGGGTTTGTTATCGATTTGATCTAGACTTTCAGCGCTATGTTTACTATAGAGATGTTTCCTGAAGCCCGAAAAAGTGCAAAATCTCTGGTGGCATCCATTCTGGTCACACAGTAATTGAAACTTCTTACCAGGATAAAAGGCATGTGAAAGCTTGAGATGACGGGCCAACTGTTGAACAGTGACAAAAGTGGACTTGCAAATGAAGCATCTAAACATCAAACTCTTCAGTTAAGGAGCTTAGCCCTAAGATCCTTGACTCTGGGAGTTTCATGAGAAAGACCTACATCAATGTTGTAGATGGTGGTCTGCACAAATGTGTACATGCTGTTTAAGGCCTTGTCATAGGAGATGCCAAACACATAATGTGCTTCGAAAAGTTCATCAAAGGCTGACAGGGAAGACTTGGTCTTGCAGGGAAGGAGCTCACCATCCAACCCGATGTAGTACTCATGGATGCTGTTTGTTGTCGTCCCAACTGCCAGGATGTATGGCTGCTTCCGCTGGTCTGGACCAGAGTGCTTGTGAAGGCTGCGACATGACTGCAAGATAACAAACAAAAATATAACTACACTGTGCATTGCATTTTGATGGATGAATAAGACTGACAGAAACCTTTGGATGTCAGTTAGTTTTTTTTAATGCGGGATCTGTTCAGCGTGCGATAAAGCAATCAATGTTTTTGTAGCGCGGTCACAAATAATAAAACATCAGAGGGGTCATCGATGTTGTCTACCTTATCACATGTGCCTGTACACTCCAATACATTGGTGATACAAATGGACAACTAAAAATAAGAAACAAACACAAGACTGCAGTCAGAAGAGGTGAAACCCACTCTGTAGTGGATTGGCACTTTAAGGATGCTAACCAAAAAGTCTCACACTTAAAATTATGTGGTATCCAAAAAATCACAAGGCCTCGACATGGAGGTGACATTGAAAAGAAACTGTCATATGACCCCATCATGTGACTATATGTAAGACAATCCACCTGTATATCTCCTTTGTTTGGAGTGGAAGGCATGATAGTTGGCCAATGTTGTTTTCGGAGTGTGAGTTACACCATTGCCTATTGGATGGATACAAATGGAAATCAGGACACACTGACCTTATGAAACTTGACTACATGCTCCACAGCTTCCCGAATACTGATCTTCACCTCTCCTTTCTTTCCACTTGGTGGTGGTGGCAGGAGGTAGACCAGCAGTAGCAATGAGGCCATGTCACTATCCCAACCTAAGAAGGGGGGAGAGCACCTGCTTTTAGCATGAAATACACCTCATGAAAGCCCTTGATACATCAAAATTCAAATTCGAAAAGCCCTCACCAATAAAAATATAAATCAATATTTGAAAAGATGACCAAATACACACCAGGTTAATGTCAATCATTTACCTGGGACCTCATCATCCTCATCAGGGTTCTCCTCCACAGACTGGATGAGGTAGTCAAGCAGGGGTGTCTTGCTGAGGTTTTTGGCTTGCTCTATCACTTTGGCTTTCAGGAGTGTTCCCCATTTCTCAAGGAGTTTAGATGAAGTCTCAGCTCCAAACAGCAGCTCAAAGTCTTATAACACCTAAAGGAGGAAGTAGAGGTAGTAGTGGGTTTGCACAGCTGTTCCTGATGGAAAATACATTGTAAATACAATTAATGTGAACTTACCAGGCCTTTTGTGTCAAGGAATCTCTGGAACACTTGTAGCACTGTGCTGCATTGCTCAGGATCATGGATTAATTTTTGTCTGTGCTGGAATGTTGCTCTCATTTTAATGAAGATCTGTTCTTTGTCTGTGCTGTGTTTCAGTAGAGATATGGCCTCGTGACACTGGTCTCCCACCGCCACTGCTGAGCTCTCACTGTGTGTTTTTAAACTTCCAGGCAATGTAGCCCTCATTGCTGTCTGCATCATAAAAGTGTTCCTAAAGAAATGTACAAAGAATAATTTCAGCATGAATCAACAAGTGTTTGACCCCCAAAAAGCAACAAAACATTATTCATTTGTAAAGGAAATTTACAAGTAAAATATTGCTTACACTGATTGCAATCCTGTTGTTAAAGCTGTTACTATCAACACTGTTATTGCAACAACAACAAAAAACCTGTATATATTACTCCTAAGAAACAAAAGCATTGGTTGCCATAACTGTAAGTATTGGGAAACATTTCAACTATAAGTATATATACTTATACTATACTATAAGTAAGACCACCAAACCAAAAAAGAATAAATCTGGCAACAATATACAATATTTACAATATAAGGAGAAATGTTCTATAAAAAACTTCACCTCTTTGGCCTGTGCACTGTCATTAGTTTGCCAACTTTTTGGGGACATCAGAAAGGTGTCATCAGTGCGCTGTCTTTTTGGGGACATCAGAGAAGCATCACTCTCCGATGAGCATGAGGATAGGGACAAGGTGTCTGTGCACGCGGACTGGACAGGGGTGTCTGAAAAGGGGGAACAACATCATTTTCAAAAACATTTTCACATGTTGTCACACATTGGTACTGCAACACTGCACTGTATACATTATACACATGTATATATATACATGTCATCCAGCACATATATGTTTGTGTCAGTGGATATGCTGAACTTCTCTTTAGCTTTGAATACAGAAAAAAAATGAATGAAGCCAGGAATATGCTATATTATTGATGTCACTGCCACAGATACAGAGGCTGTTTTGATTAAAAATGCAACAAAGTGGGAAAACAATAAGCTTTTAGCACCATTTCTGTCTTAATTGGAAAATGTACTGTAGACTTGAATGGTGCATTGGTGCGAAGAAGACAATCTACTCTAAACTGCAAAAGGGACAGCCGTATGCAACCGAGAGGGATGCTGATGGTGGCCTGACTGCAGAGGGGGGAGGCTGCCCACAATGCAGCTTCTTGAGTAGGGATGGATATCGTTGGAATTTTATTGATGCTACTACTCTTAAAGATAACCTTTACTGGTGATTTATCAATACTCTTATTGGTTCTTTTTCATTTAACTTTTTCATTACAACAACTGCTTTGAAAATATATATTATCTAAAAAAGAATAGATTCAGAATGGAATTAGAAATTAATATTTTAAATATAACTATGTTTCTAGAGGAGCAACTGTAATGTTTACAACAGCAAAATCACTATATAAACTCAATGTCTCACTGTACACAAGTCTAAAATGTCAATAACATAAATAATATTCCTGACATCAAAATACTGAGTGAGCTGCCAGCAGCTAAATTTCCAAGAGTTTACCACATTTTGAGATATGTGGCAAACTAAGCTAAACAGTTAAACAGACTTAACAGACTACTGTAACATTACATACAAAATATTAGTTTTAAATACATATTTAAAGGTACAGTGTGTAATAATCAATGTATTTCGTAGCACTTAACAGA